GGATAATATCAATTACTTACCTGATGGAATTCTTGCCCACATCCTCTCATTCCTTCCAACAAAAGATGCAGTGCGCACATCCTTTCTATCAAGAAGGTGGAGGTATCTTTACACTTTGGTATCTGATCTTGATTTGGAGTTGGAGCCTGATTATGATGATGATGATGAGGATACACAATTGGATCAGCTTATGAATTTTGTAGATAGAGTATTGCTCTTCCGTAAGAGACCATCTATACTTAGATTTCGCCTCAAGTGTGCTCATTATGACAACCAATTTAACCCTTCTCGAATTGATGGGTGGATTCGTGCTCTCATGTGGCATAGGATTCAAGAGTTTGAGCTTGACATATGCGAGTCTGATTTTCATCTTGAGGTCCTGCCTGCTAGTTTATTTACTTGTGAGACACTAGTGGTTCTGAAATTGTATTTGGATTGGTGCTATGATAGTCTTAAGGTGCCATCCAAGGTTTGTCTCCCAAGGCTCAAGGTTCTTCACATTTGTGCTGGCTTTTCATTTGACGGCTCTGATCAAAACTTGTTTTCTAGTTGTCCAGTTCTTGAGGAAATGGTTCTGGATAAATGTGCCTTGATGCATCCTTGTTTCGAATTCAACATATTTATTCCTACACTCAAGAGATTGACCATAAAATCCATGACAATTACTAAAACAACAGGGGCTACTCAGGTTGTTATCAATGCCCCAAGTCTAGTATATTTTAGTTACTCTGACTCGGAATTCCAGTTCCTTGTGTTTGTAGGTGTGCAGTCTCTTCATGAAGCAGTTATTGACTTTTATTTTGTTTGTGGACGTTATAATCATTCTGAACTTTATGTTGCTGCTGCGGTTCATCTTTTGACAAGGATAAAGAGGATTCAGTCGCTTCAAATTTCCACTCGTACTCTATGGGTAAGGCTTTTTGTTTTTTAATGGTTTCATTCTGATGTTATTTTCTCCCTGCCTTCACAACAAATTGTATGTGGTGTAATTTTCTAGTTCAGAAATTGTTTTGTTCAACTAACCATGAGTTTCCCTTTGTTTCTACAGAGTCTCCAAGACCATAAAGTTCCCATCCCTTTGTGGCTTCACATGACTCACTTGAAAATTTTTGAGACATATTGGCGTGCAAACTTTACTTGTCTGCAATACTTTCTTGCGCGTTCTGGCTGTCTAGAAACTCTGATTATCGAGGTATAAATTTAAATATTAATTCAAATTTCTTCTAGCCAATGTAGAGTAAGCACTTATGGCCAGTTTTGTTTTGTGCGGTCAGGAACTTCCAGCTGAATGGGTTGTTCATCTCTGGCTAGTAGATATTACTTGTCTGTCATTTCGCCTGAAGACAATTGAAATCCTGTCATTTAAAGGGGAAGAAAATTGTATGAAAATGGTTGAGTACTTTTTAAGTACTGCCAAGGTTCTAGAGCAGATGACAATTCATATCAAAGAGGGAGAGGCAAAACAATTGCAGATCACTAAGGAGTTATTGATGCTACCAAGAGTCTCTTTGAGAAGTCGAATCATAATTGTTTAGTTTTCTCTATTACTGGTATGTTGAGTTGAGTTAGCTTCTATTGTCAGCCAAATTATTTTATTTTATTTTATCATATCTTACTACTTGTTGAGAAGTCTTCTTCTGATTTAGCAGGCAGCAATTATTTGATGTTCTTCCTGGACTGGATTGGGAATTAATTAAGCACTACTGGATGGAGTTACAAAAGAGAGACCCTCGTGAGCTACCCTTTTTTTTGGTGTTTTCCTTTTTGCCTCAAGACCGGTACAGACTGCCTAAAAGAAGTAGAAATGGTGTTTTGCAAGAAATTGCTGGCCTTTCTGTTAAGATGAAAAGTACTTTATAATGTTTGATTATCTTAGTTAATGTTATGCCTCATCATAGGTCATACTCTAAACTCAATGTTTGATCTAATTATTATCTTATTTCCATTTTGTTGAAAATAATCTTGTTTTGCAATTAGGTTCTGGAAGAATGAAAATAGTTGAGTTGTTTCTGAGCAATGCCAGGGTTTTGGAAGTGTTGAGAGTTCTCGTATTAGACAAGTTGTACCTGAGAAACATATGAAGATCATGAGAGGGTATCAAGGAAATGTCCAGTGTTTTCTTTTGATACAATGAATTAGCTTTTCCGTCTCTGTATCGACTGTGAGAACCAGAGAATGTGATACATCATTTGAATGCATTTCCTCTTGTTTGAAGGCTCTAATAAGATGAGTCCATAAAGATGTTAGAGGATAAATTAGAAAAATCAGTAGTCTACGGACAATTAAGTGTACCCTAACAATCAAATAGGCTGAGCATTCTCTTACTTAGTTCTATTTACATATTATATAATTTAAACTTAATACTTTTTATTATCATTAAATTACTTAAGACGTTAACCTATTCTCGTATTTACGAGTCCTTAAGTCTACGCACGTAGCTTTAACTGTGCGGGAAGCTCTACACGTATTCCTCCACTCATTACTCAACACTCAAAGAGTAACACTCTGTTTTACCCCCGAGACCCAAAGAGCTGCTCTGTTTTCACTCTGTTCTCCAGCTAAGAGCAGGGGAGGATCATCGTCAATCAAACGAAAGCCATAATTCCAAGGTATGGGACTATGGGTTTTCTTTCTGTTCCTATTTTATTGGATCTTGGTTCTCTTTTTCTTTCATTCTATTTAACTCTATTTCCGTTGAGGATTCCATTTTTGTTGGGCAAATTTACATTAAAGTTTCAATTTTTATACCATTTTTGGAGGGGATGGGATTGGTATCCGCACATTTAATTCAATTCATTTACTAAACGTCATTTACTGTGAAAATTACAAAAAAAAAAAAAAAAAAACAGTTGTATAAAGGGACGTGGTTTATGCGGATTTATTATTTTGTTAAGATAATTTAAAAATTATTTAACTTAACTAATATTATATTGATTTAAAAATTTTTAAATATTTAATTATGATATTTAAAAATATTAATGTATAAATTAATTTTAATTTATTTTTTAAATAATGAATATCAATTATTAGTTATTTTAATAATCCAATTAAATAGAAACAAAAATGTTATAATTATAATTTCATATGATATTATAAATTTATAATATAATATGTTATTATATAATTAATTTTTTATTTATAAATTCATATATAATATTATACGGCGTAATACAATGTTCTATCTGTCCCTGTCCGTGTTTCGTTTCTCCTGTGCGACTAATATTTGCTTTCACAATGTTATAATTATAATT